CTGGAAGAAGGAGAAACAACAGGCTGCCATCACTGTCCACATTTCGCTCTCTCAGACTTGGGTGCGGGCAAGGGGCTGATTGATCCTGTTTGGTTCCAAACACTAAAGGGAGAGGTGACAAGTGCTCAGGACCCCAAATATGCACAACTCAAGAGATCCAGCTGATAGTCCAAGGGATTACCAGAGTATCAGGGAGAACCGACCAGTCTTGGTTCCCTTACCAACCAGCTGTGTGGCCTTAGACCAATATCTTGACTTCTCTGAGCCCAGGCTTTTCCTTCTGTAAAATGAAATGATCCCAACCTCACAGGATCATTATGAGGATCCAGTGAAGTAATGCCACACACCCCAAACTATGTGTCAAAGCACCCCTAAGAACTCACAAGGGCCTTGCAGGGATATTTTAAATTTTCAAAGGCAAGGGGAAGCCAGCCACATCTGTTGGACACCGTGAAGCTGCTGGACGAGGCAGCTCACAGCTTCATCAGGAGATCTCACTGCACTCCCTTCAAGGATGTCATACATTTGTGAAGCTGGATTTTGCAAGTACCACACAAAAATCCACACGGAACATTAAGTGAGGGGTGGTGGCATCCAACGTGATTCCACAGTTAGAGAAGCCATGCAGAGCCCATTGGTGTACATCCCATTGGTAGCTATTTAAGAATAAAAGAAAAATATTACTTTTCTTTCAATTTATAAGTGATATTTTTCAAATGGCTACTAAGTTGTTGGGACATAAACACTCACTGAGTTACTTGGACCTAACCATTTAATGAACAGAACTGGTAGGTATTTTTTATGGCCCAGGAGAGTCACGAAACATTAACCTGAGGTTCAAGGGACCCTCAGGGCACAGTGAACTAAGGTTTGAGAAGCTCTGATGGCCTCAGTTTGGAAAGCACTCAGCACAGGTCCGATGTGTGAAATGGGACTTAGGAACAGTTGCCTGGCCCCGAGCCTGCCGGCCAGCACTGCAGAAACCACTCCAGGGACAGGGCCGGTGTTGAGGAGCCTCCCTTTTCACAGGTCACCCTCAACTGTGCATTTATTCAATGACTGGCCCATGAACACCCGGCACTGGTCTCGACCCTAGTGACCACTCAGCAGGAATAAGGCAGCAAGATCCCTGGCCTCATGGAGCACAGTTCCGGTGGAGAGGCACACCACAGCCCAGGCATCCCTCGTGCAAAGGCAGGCGGCAGTAAGTGCTATTTAAAACGGGAATGGAGTGTGATGCTTGGTAGATACCTGAGTGCAACGTCAGAGAAACAGACACGTGAAGGCCCAGGAGAGAGCACGACAGTTGGGGAGAAGACCAGAGCAACGGCACCGAAGTGGGGAGAGCACGGCTCAGAGAGCAACAGGGCATTCCGAGTGACCAAAGCCAGAGGCTACAGGGGAGGAGGACAGTGGATGAGTCGGGGACCGCCAGGGCCAGGCGGGACGCAGGGAGGGGAAGCCCCAGCGGGTTTGAGTAGCGAGTGTCTGGAGCTTCACTGCGTCGGGGAGAGGACGGGGAGGCTACTGCAGTAACGCAGGCCCAGCTGATGGCGGCTTGGCCCAAGGTGGCTAGAGGGGAGGTGATGAGAGGTGGCCACATGCTGGGTTTATGCTCAAGGTTAGCACCTGTGCAAATTGTCCTTGGACTGCAGGTGGAGGCTGATGAAAAGAAGGAGTCACAGACGACACCTAGGTTTGGGCCTGAGCACCCGAATGAATGAACGGAGGTGCCATTTCCAAGATGGGGAAAAACAGAGACAAAGGTGTGTGTGGCGGGGAGGGGGGATATGGAGAGTCTGGCCGTGGAATCCTGAGGTCCTGATGGCTATCCAAGTTCTGAGGGGACAGTTGAGCAATGCTGGCGCCACCACAAGCGCAGGTGTGGTGGCTGGAGTCACAGACCTGCACCCAGACTGGGTGGGTGGACACGGCTGCTGACATGACATAATTTGAGAGACTTCCTGAGCCTCTGGACAGGTCAAACGGTGCCCCATGCACCACGTGTGATTCCTGCAGGAGATGAGCATCGCCACAGCCTCCGCCCCCAGCTGGCTCCAGAGCCCCATCCCAGCAGGGCAGCAGGAGACGGTGCACCGTGGCCCTGCCAAGGACAGTTAGTTGGGAGTCAGTGCCTGTCCCGGAGGCCTAAGACCTGGGAGGGGCCGGCAAAGCCAGCCCCTCCAGGCTCCACCCACCCCTCGGCTCTTCTGAAAGTGCACACCAGCTTTGGAAGAAGCAGCATTGCAAATAGGGAGTATTTTGGGACCAAAATCCGTATTTGTTGAATGAATCCAAGTTCCTCCCTGTGACCTCCAAGCCCTTGAGTGCTGGGACCCCCATCGCCCTCTCGTCCTCCTTCTCATGTGCCGCCCAGGCCTCCTTTCAGATGCTCAAACCACCGTCACAGCGAAGCCCTACACAGGAGCTCTACTCGCTAGAGCAAACACGTGTAGGTACCAGGCACCGCGCTTGTAAGCACACCATGACTTCACGCGTCTCAGCTTTGGAGCAATCCTAGGAAGTGGGCTCTGTGATTATCCCCTTTTGCACATGAGGAGACTGAGGTTAAATGGTAAGTGGCAGAGCCGGTCGTCACACCAGGCAGAGGGCCGGCTCCTTAACCAGCGTGTCCCTCCATCTGGAAAGAGGACACATTCCTCCCCCTCCCTTGGGCCTTCTTGGCCGAGCTCTGCCTGGGAATGAAGATACCCTCCCTTCGGCTTGGGGCTCCCTCTCTGTCTTTAGGGCTCCATTTGACCATCATGTCCTCAGGGGGCCCTTCGGGACCTCCTCGTCCAGGGCAGGATCCCCCGTTACGCTCCGTCAGAACTTCACCCTCACGTCTTCAGGCACTGGCCACAGGCGGTAAGTGGATCCTCAATGGTTTGTGGCTGCTTTCTTGTCTGCCTGCCCCTACAAACCCCCAAGGGGGCAAGCATTTTTCTGCTTCATTCACTACTTTGTCCCCAACACCTAGCACAGTGCCTGGGACAGGACAGGCCTATGGGAAACATCTGTGGCAGGAAGGAGGGAGGCAAGGGAGGGCCGCCCAGCCCCAGGGCCCACGTGTAGAATCAGCCTTCAGCTATGCCAGCAGCTGGGACGTTACCACCCTCCTTTCCCGGGGACAGCCTTCCCTGTGCCGGAGCCAGGCTCCTTTCTCTCTTGAAGCACATTTGGGTATCTTTCTCTTCCTTTCCAAGCCTGCTCAGAGGCAAAAGGAAGCTCACCCTTACCAGCACCCAGTGTGGCCTCTCGTCACAATTCTGGCTGCCCTGAGGGGAGGGCATCACTCAGCCCCATGTTCCAGGTAAGGAAACGAGACTCCAGTAACTGCCCAAGTTCTCACAGTTCGTGACAGAAGTGGGACCAGAACCTTCTGCTGGCCTTTCCCTTCTCCTCTAGTGTAATAGGAGGTCAAGGTGCAGCCGTCACTTCCTGCCTCAGTTTTGATGGAGCGGCCAGTACAGCAGGCAGCAGATGGCAAGATGAGCGTGAGATGAATCGCAAGTGCCCAGGTGACACAGGAAATTCCGAGAGCCCGTTCCACAACCCACACCCCTGGCTGACTCTAGCCTGGTCATGTTTCCAGAGACAGCAGGAAACAAACAAAAAGTTACATGGGGTCAAACCCTGTTATCCTGATGGTTCCACTTCTCCCAGTGGCTCAAACAGACAGCCGCACGCTGACAGCAGTCTCAGCCCCTGGGTGGGCTCGGTCTTGGCTGGGAACAGTGCCTGTGCCCTGAGCCTGGGGGGCCATCCCGAGGGCGAGGACCCTCCCTTCAGGGGAGGCCTTCCTCCCCTCCAAGTCCTTCCCAAGGGGAGCTCATGTGGGAAGAGAACAGAATACAGAGCACAGTGAACCCTCTCAGCAGTGGGAGCTTGACTGAGGCTATGGGCTTTGGGGGACCTGGAGGGGCCAGAGTCTCCAGGCCCAGGCCTGAGCAGCTGACCCCAAGTCAGGCCAGCCCGAGAGGGACACAGACTCAACGTGCATGTCTCGGGCTGGTTCTCGTCCCCAGCGACGCCTTGCTGTGATGTAACATCAAAGAAGGAGTTAACTACTCTGTGGCTCAGTGATGAGCATGTCACCTGCAAGATGAAGAAGTGCCACTTGGACAAGACAGAGCCTCCTGGATCCACAGCCTACACCTGCTAGGTCACACCTGCAGCAGGCAAGTCCCCGCGAAAGCCACCAATAACTATCAATATATTCCTGGCCCACAAAACCCAGATTCAGAGGTAAAGAAATAAGTTAACTCACAGAATGGAGGCTGCAGGAGGGAGAGAGTCTGTGTGCCTCGCCTAGTTCACCCCCTACACTAGACATGGGGAAACCAAGGACCAGATGAACCCAATGACTCTGGGAGACCCTGGTTTAAAACTGTAAGGGCTATGCACACAGTGGAATATTATTTGGCCTTAAAAAGGAAGGAAATTATGACACAGGCTACAACGTGGATGAACCTCAAGGACATTATGCTAGGTGAACTAAGCCAGTCAGAAAAAGACAAATTCTGTATGATTCCATTTGTATGAGGTACCTAGAGTAATCAGATTCATAGAGACAGAAAGTAGAACGGTGGTTGCCAGGGGCTGAGGGTATGGGAGTGAAGAGTTAAGGTGTAATGGGCACACAGTTCAGTTTGGGAAGATGACAGAGTTCTGGAGATGGATGGTGGTGACGGTTAATAATGTATAACATGTATAATATCAAGGACATGTAAAATAACAAGGACATATTCAACACTTCTGAACTATATGCTTAGACATGGTTAAGACAGAAAATGTTATCATATGTGTATTTTACCACAATTAAAACTAAAACAAAATAAAATAAAATAAATTCTTAAAAACAAAACTGTAAGAGCTAAAAGAGAGTTCAGGTCAAGGTCATCGGGAAAATGAGGACCGCTCAAGGCTGGAACTCCTTCTTGCCCCTCCAGTGGGTGAGGACCCCCAAAGTGCCTCAGGCCACCCACACACATCTGTGA